CGGATTTCCCCCTTTCATTCTCCACTATTTTGGTCGAAGCCGGATTTTCCCCTTTCGTTCTCCACTATTTTGGACGACACCGGATTCCCCCCTTTCGTTCTCAACTATATTAGTCAATAATAAAGGATTTTCATGGCTACAAGATTAAAAAATAATAAGGGTCTGCCGCCGATCTTTCCTACCCATTTTGGTAGTATGTTTTCACCTATTTTGGAGGTATTTTTACCCCCATTTTGGCTCCCTTATTTCTGTTTGGCTGGATGTCTTTTATTTGTCTTCATATCACAACCATCCAAAACCCTTTCATCTCAACTGTCCACATCATTTTATTAACTGAGTTTGTAACCCACTTTTGTACAAATAGCTTTTTCCGAGAAGATAAAATGATGTGCAAGCTATTAACCAGCGGTTCCATTTTTTGCATTATTTAATTAGTAGGTAATGACCAATTGAATCTTGGAAAAAAATGAAGATGATCCAAACATGGTTTGACATTATTGCATTGTGAAAAACTTTAAGCACTAATAAAGAAGAAAATTACATAATTTCATTTGAGAAAATAAAAGAATGAATTTGCGAGTTGATTCGACTCTCCACAAATTTAGGTAGAAAGTAATGTTTTCACTAGAAGCCAAACATGTTTTGGAATTGTTCTCTACATTTCATCATGTTCTTCACAATTGAAAACTAATTCACAACATTTGGTAACAGGTAATCTCGACTCTTGATATTTTGACTTTCAAGAATGAGGTTTGGTTGACTAGTTATCTCTACATTTCATCATGTTCTCAATATTTGAAAACTAGTTCTCGACATTTGGTATATGATAATCTCGATACTTGGCATTTCATCTTTCAGGAATGAGATTTGATTGATTAGTTATCATTGTTTTTTACATTTCATCGTGTTCTTTAATTCACCTTCACAGACTTTTGACATACCATAAATTCCGAAGTATTAAAATACTCTCAACCGAGAATAACAAGCAAAAACACCACAAGCAGAGATGACGATCAACGTAGTGATTTGGCATAGCGATTTCGACAGTTGGAGGTGCAACGACCGATGAATAATGAGGAAGACAATGTAGGGTTTCCAAGTGAGAGAGTGATAGACGAAGATTTGAGTTGGGGAGGGGGTGAGTTTGGATTGATTTCAATTTTTTGGTACATACGACCCGGGTAGGGATAATAGTTGGGTGGGTTAATTATTTCATAGATAAAATTTATTTCAGTTTGGCTATAAATCGGGAGTTCAGGTCGGGTTCACCAAAAAGAATCCAACTAAGCCCCCGTTTGATCTACATTATTATCTCATTAAAATGAAAACTGTGACCGTTATCCATCACATTAACATTTAAATTCAAATTTTCGTTCTCTTAATAACATCTATATTTTTCATTCTCATTTTACAATAATTTGGCTCAAACATGGCCTAAAATAATACAAAAAAATTGGCTACTTCAATGAGAAAAGTAGCATTTATTGTGGTTTGACATGTATACTTTTTAAAATAAGTAGAGTAGGTTATGTGTCAATTTTAATGGTCAACAAAATTTTTAATTGTATGAACATTTTTATTTTTAGTGTGGAATTATAAATTGTTAACAAGAGTATTTTTGTCTAAATTATTACAAAAT